AAAATAACTCTCAACTTTCTGTCTCGGTCACAAAGACCCCCACTCCAAAAAGGGAGAATTTTTGTCCTTCTCCGTGAGGCGTTTGGAACATGAGCAATCAAAGTTCACGACGTTACTTTATTTTTTGGAGCATGAGCTATCAGACTTCATGACGTTACTTTATTATTTTCTTTGCGGGTGGGTTTTTTGTGTGCGTGCGTGTTTTTTTTTTTTTTTTGGGTGGGGGTGGTGGTTAAGTGAAAAGTTCAAGGTCATTAAGTGGAATATACAAAGTCCGAAAGTGTTGCATACAAAAAACCTCAAAAGTCAAGGGTGTAAGTAAAAAATAATCTTTTATTGTTCATCTCTCTCATTGCCCATTAACCAACGAAAAAATGCCTCACATACCCGAAAATGGAACAGGTCGAGGGGGACAGATGAGGTGTTCACCTCTGATTGCATAATGAGCCGGCCATGGCCAACTCATTATGCTATTAAGGGGGGGCACCTCACTTGTCCCCCATCTGTCTCATTTTCGGGTCCTTGTAGAAGCACCCTAACCAACTAGGGTTATTCAACCAACACAGTTGTTTGTGAATGCCCCCCACCAAATAAAGAAGGGTGATTTCCTGGAACGATGACACGTAATCTCGGTAGCTATAATGCCTAGAAAGTTAATAGTTTCTTCATGCATAGGCGTAGGCATGATATTTTGAGAAAGCAAAACTTGTGAACTTCGTACATCCAAATGAGAACAAGAGTTAATGCCCAATATGTTGTCAAAAGAAGGGGGGGTCATCATGGCCTCATGGATTTTGAATGTTGCAACTCTGAACCCAGCTAAGATCAATAGTCATACCCTCACGCTTCCAGCGGGGTTCACATTCATGAAGCATTATTGAATCCATTGTAGAAATTAAGTTTGGGGAGACCTTTTTATGAGCCACATGTTTGTGTTTTTGTTTTTTTAATCCTAAAGTATCATCGCATTCGAATTGATGCACGCATGACCACTTAATTGCATGGCGTGTTTGAGTAACAGTAATTTAGATCAATAACAAAGGAATATTTCAACATTACGCAATTTCATTAATTTCTTATATTCTTAGAACACTCTTCAATTTAAATTAAGTTGCAACTTCAATTGAAGCATAACATCTAATCATGCATATAGGTTAGTAGAAATTATAACCTGGGAAGAGAGGAAGATTTATAATGGCGCTAGACTCTATATATTATAATGAAGCATTTATTTTACAAGTTTATTTATATAAAAGAGAGATCGAGGAGTTTCGTTGTAGTTTTAGGTGGTTCTATTCTCCCCGCTTGCTACTATATATTATTTTTGTCTAAATGATCAACGCTTCAGCGAAATATAGCTTATACAACGCTCATATATATGCTTGGTACCGAAAACATTATACGTACTTTCATTTATTTTATCTTTTTAATTAAGAAATCATAAAAGCTACATACACAGAGTCATACAGACCATTGAATATTATAACTAACCTCCATCAAGATGCCTTTCTGACTGGACTTTTTGGGCTCATTCAGCCTTATCCAGTCTCCTACCAAATTTGGATAGCTAACCTTCATCAAAACGCCTTTCTGATTGGGCTTTCCCCAAGAACTAAGAATCATGACTATGATCAGAACAATTCCCACTACTTCGAAGCTTAAAAGGCTAATGATTCTGAATGAGATGGGTCCTCGTCAGCAATTAGACGCCACTGGATAACGCTAATACCCTTATGCGTTTTATTCCTTACTTCTCCACATCTACTACGTACTGCCACCTATATATCACTCCGTTACGCTATACCGTACAAAAAAACATGCATGAATAATTGCCAGCTTATTTTACTAATGAACTACCAAGAAGAGGGGAAGCTCGTCCTGCCGCCGGTCAAGTCAAGTCGGAGGTGGTGAGCCTCTCGTTGCTTAATTTCGCCTTTCGCTACTCATTTTGCTAAATAAGCTATCAGCTCCTACTCATTATCCACACATGAACTTAGTAATTATTCTAACCCCACGACACTCGGGGGAATCAGATTCCCCCCGTCCCACTCAGCCAACAACAACTTGCTCTATATAACCCATCTTTTTTTTAGATTCTCTTAGTTGCTAAAGGAGGATTGGTGTCCCTAAAATATAGGTTTCCTAAAGTGAAGGTTGATGAAGTGGAGAAAAGGAGGGTCTTCTCGATGCTATTGCTTTTCTAGAAAGATTTGTGTGGCTTAAGAATTTGTGATTGCCATCAGCAATTTGACTTGGGCAACAATGATTACACCGTAATGATAATACTATTTAATTGGTAGGCCCCTCCTAAATAAATCATAATCCTAATTAATCTCCTTGTTCGTTGAGGGCACCTAACACGAAAATTTAGCATCTGGATCGAGGGTAAACGGAGACTGATCGAGGTGCTATCCAAAATTTCAAAAGAACGCGTCTGATATGATGCACGTCAATTAGCAACACTACAAAATTAATCACCTGCAGCATTCTTCTCGCCTGACGATCGAGATACTTAGGCTTACAAAATTAATCACCTGCGGCATTCTTCTCGCCTGACGATCGAGATACTTAGGCTTACAAAGTTTGTTTTTTCTTCCCGGCCCTCCGATCCTTAATTAATTTGTTAGGTTTATCTGAAAGCGACGGCTCGACCCAAACTGCATTTTTTTTTAATCACGAACGATGTCTCATGCATCATCCCATTAACGAAACAATTTTGATTAAGCCACCAAAGCACCAAGTAATCTAAGCCATGTCCGAGACGGAAGAAGGTAACGAGTAAACGCAGCATTCTGACCGAACGATACTCGCGTGGAAACAGCTTTTGTTAGGAATAGAGAGAACTGTCTAATGAGAGCAGCATCGCCATCGCCATCGGTTCAGTCAGAATTATAAGAGAAACGTTTTTCCAATTCTGGATGAAATTTTTTGTCATAACAGAGCTCATCCACTATAACTTCCTACTGATGCGCAATAACTTTCCCAACTGGAGTTTAAGTACTACCATCTGGTACACTCCCATCTTATCTTTTCTTCGTTTTAATTCGGCACTTCACCAACAATCAAGAACAAAATTCTGCCGTAAATTTCAAGTATGCAAACATATTCCACGGGCATCCCTTCACCCGGTATGATTATTGTCATCATATACAAGTAAATGAACAGGAATATTTCATGCTTATAAATGTCCTAATTAAGCAAAGTGTTATGCCTTAGCTCATAACAGAGATACAGCTTTCCGCGCGTTAATCTGATTTAATAATAATCACAGGGCATCATAATTAAAGGTCCGCCAAACCTATCAATGTACTAAAGGGAGGATAGCAAAGTGTTATGCCATTTTTAAGCTTTAATTATGATCCACCACAGGAAACACAAATTACTTTCATAACCGGCATAAATTTGGCAAGTGGATTCACATAACTAAACCTTAGTGTATATCTGCAAATGGGTTCAAAAAAAGAAAGGAATGTTATGTATATTATTAATCCAGGGGCGTAGCATAAGGACATAGAGTGAACAGCTTAATTGATCATCAAAGAAAGATAAGGTTAGGGCGCAACAGCGGAGCAAGAAACATCACATGATTGGGCATATTTTTCACCAAAGAATATAAAACTTGTCCATTCTTCAAATTTCAAGCTTAGGTTAGTATTAACTAATCCCTAGTATCAAAAAATACAACTATTCTACGACTACACAAGAAAAGTGAAATTCTAATCACTAGTATCACATTGCATGAACACTTCTATCATCAAACAATGTCAATATCATAATCAATGCCACTTGGACAAATCGGGTCACCGTTCAAATATCTTCTACACCACATGCGCACGATCATGAGTGTGTATGGTTCATTGAAACAGCAACAATTTGAAATCATATTTTTCATTGAAACAACATCAAACAGTAAATTCTACAGAAAAAATGGCGAGTTTAGACTTATCACGAACACAAAATCAAGATCTACCCCACCATTAGAATCTAGAAAAGTGCTTGCATTACATATTGCTAGTATGCACGTCCACATATACATGATCACACACGCTTACTTTTTCAATGAATATACCTATGCAATAATGTACTGTTTTTCTTGACGCAGCGAGTATGCATGTCCATGTATACATGATCACATACGTTCTATTTTTCCAATGAATATGTGTGTGCGCTAATGTACTATTTTCTTTACGCAGACACATGTTCAAATAAAAAAAGTTGTTGTGACGTTGTCATGTTTTAGCGTCTTACTTGGAGGAATAGTCATGTCCTCATATTTGCGTCATGTCATGTTCTCAACTTTGTATCCATGGCTCTCAGTAGGAGTTTAGGTGTGGTGTCAATTAGTTTCAGAAGGTAAATTGAATTTTAAGTTAGTCTTGTTCATTATTTATTAATTTATCTCTTCCAAGTAACATTTTCCTCCTCCTGATTTATGCCATATGATATCAGAGCCTCTCTGAATTAGTGATTCCATGCATGGCTTGTCCTTCTCCACCTCATCTTCCCTCATAATATCAAATTATTCTGGCCTTTGCTTCAAACTCAACAAGTTGATGAATTCATTAATCAATAAGCCAGTTAAACATCAATTAAGCTCAATGTAGTACAAATATTCAAAGTGGTAACAAAGAGTCTTTTCAATATATAATTCCTTTAGTGATGCATTTTACAGACCACAGCAGGTTACATCGTAATAGCTAAAGCTACAGGTTATTGAACCCATTAGTGAGCTCGATTGTCATGTATGATGATTTCTATCATCACGTATGATGATTCAAAAGCTTATTTTCGAGCGAATAGTGGGTTAATCCCTCTGCCAAGAATTATCACCGCTATGAATCAACAGCTATTCCAATATCATACATCTCCAAGACTCCAATAAACTTGTTTAAAGTAATTTAGGTAGGAGTTGGTTGATGTTACCTTAGATATCTCTTTTATAAGCTTTAAAGGAAAAAGAAAAAAGTTTCATCCTCTGAAACTAATGATTTGCGAGCATGAAAATCAAACATCAAAAATCAAATCAGAACTAACCAGCTCTCATGGACAATTCTAAATGCACAAAATCAAACATCAAAAATGAAAAATCAAATCAGAAGTATCTAACCATTCGTACTCATTACATAATGGACAGTGGTTGAATTCATGTGGAGATTGATAGTGCTGGTGTAGCAGCAAGATTACTTACTGACACACGGGTAAAGATTGCCGTAAGAGGTCAAGGTTCATCAGCAGCATAAGATCTGAACAGTTTGAGAGGAAAAAGGATCTCAAATAAAGAATAATATTGAATATCAAAAATGCTAATCTTGTACTTACCAGACAACTACATTGTTGTTCTGGTACTGTGAGCTATAGTATAATGGTGAATCTAGCTCGAAAACGCCAGGCAAATAGTAAGTTAAGAGAATATTTGACAAGTCAAGAACTAATGATTTGCAAGCAAATAACTAAAAAATTGGAGAGAAAACTTAAAGTTATTGTATTATAGTGGAAGTTAGGCTTCATAATATAATGTTTAATTAGCAATCGTGCATCAAGTATTAACTTACAGAATATCAGAAAGTAATCGAGAAACCATGACATTAGGACATGAGAGGGTGGTCTTCTTCCACATTTTTTCCCCCTAATGAAATATAGTTACTTATCGCTTCAGTGCGAAGCAAAAAAGCTGAACAAGCGAATAAAAGTAACATATCAAAGAACAACCCAAGAAGAGAGAAACAAACTTGTATCTCCTCTAAAGAAATAAGAAGGTTTTGATTTGATAAATCAAGTGTAAGAATCTACCGAACTATTGTTTCATGAGGATGGATATTGAGTGAAAGGATAATTCAACAACATCATTAATAAGGCTGATCACATCTACTATAGTACTTTTTTTTTAATTAGTACTATATATAGTACTACTAACTGCTTTTGTTGCCAAATGAGTTCCTCACAGGCAGTGATGAGAATTTCTGGTGTAAACTAGCACTAACTCTAACTCACAATAAACACTATCGCAAATTAAACCCAATAGAAAATTGGCCTGAACTAATTGAAATATAATTCATATATGCATATGCTTCTCTGAGAAATTACTTTCAATCCCTATTAATTTCTCTCCATTTCAATGAAACAGCACTACAAGTAGTTCAGCAATACACCACCATCGTCTCTGGTGATTTACTGTTTTATAATTTTCTTTTTTCCCCTTCTCCCTTGCATTTCAACAATGAAATGCGATTATCAAAGAAGCGTTTCAAACTCTTTTAACTTTTGTTCCTTTTTAACGAAAATATGTAAAACTTTTACATATTTTTAAACAATGGAAGAATTCATCCAATCAAATGAGATGGACAATGATGCAGGAAAACACATATCACCATGCAACCAAAATCCCCTCCCCAAACTCTGACTTCAACTTTCTTGCCAGACTTTTGTTTTTACCTTCAAATATTGGCTTTAGTTTTCGTTTGGGATGGTATAGCTATATAATTTGGTGGTATATTTCCCTTCTAAGGAATCCATACTGAAGCTCCAGAAGAAAATTCAATACCACTTTGGTACAAGACCGAAGTAGATGAATGGTAACTCGATCGAAGGAGCAAAAGGATCACAGAGAACAGCTGAAATAAGAATAGAACAAGTCAATATCTGTGAATTGAGTTGTCAGATAGACATCTGCATATCTAAGTACTCTTCAAAGCAAATATTTGAGGCCCTCGTCTCTGGGATAGGGGTGTTTTAGCTATGGGCTATAAGAAACTCTCACAAAGTAAAGATGAAATTGTACTAAAAAGGTACAAATTGTAAATTAACAATAAATCTTTCTCCACACTGATAATAAGTATAAATCTATTTCGAACCAAAGCCTAAGATACCTAAACTAGCGATGACAGTTACGATTTACCATATAGTGGTAACCAACACAAAAAAATTGTGATCCAAACAAGAACATTTCCAAATCTAGCCATATATTAACCCCCACAAAATTTTATAACTAGTAAAATTAAAATAGTATCTCAAAATGCTAACACTGAACAAAGATAGAGAAAGAGATTATCAACACCAAGCATCGAAGCATTGATCATTAGCATCAAAAGGCATCACAATAACATAAATTCATGCAATGAGGAATGATGAAATACATCATAACATTTCCACTTCTTTCTAGTTCTAATCAAATCCCTCTAAGCTAGTAACGACAAGTACCCACAAAGTAGTAACCAACACAAGAAATCATGACCCAAACAAGCACATTTACAAATCTAGCCACATAGTAACCAACGAAAATTCACAACTGATCCACTAAAAAAAATATCTGAAAATACCAACATAGAATAGATCATCAATGCTAAGCAATGAAGCATTGACATTAAAATGCATCTCATGAACATAAACTCGTGCAATGAGGAAAGGCAAATTATACTATAATATTCAACTACTTTCTTAGTCTAATCAAATCACTCTAAACTAGCCATGATGTATGGGGTGGCATACAGGCAGGTCGGGCCAAATTCGGTCGGATCAAATTTAGGCATAGAATAGATCATCAATGCTAAGCAATGAAGCATTGACATTAAAATGCATCTCATGAACATAAACTCGTGCAATGAGGAAAGGCAAATTATACCATAATATTCAACTACTTTCTTAGTCTAATCAAATCACTCTAAACTAGCCATGATGTATGGGGTGGCATACAGGCAGGTCGGGCCAAATTCGGTCGGATCAAATTTAGGCATAGAATAGATCATCAATGCTAAGCAATGAAGCATTGACATTAAAATGCATCTCATGAACATAAACTCGTGCAATGAGGAAAGGCAAATTATACCATAATATTCAACTACTTTCTTAGTCTAATCAAATCACTCTAAACTAGCCATGATGTATGGGGTGGCATACAGGCAGGTCGGGCCATATTCGGTCGGATCAAATTCAGGCATAGAATAGATCATCAATGCTAAGCAAAATGAAGCATTGACATTAAAATGCATCTCATGAACATAAACTCGTGCAATGAGGAAAGGCAAATTATACTGACATTAAAATGCATCTCATGAACATAAACTCGTGCAATGAGGAAAGGCAAATTATACCATAATATTCTACTACTTTCTTAGTCTAATCAAATCACTCTAAACTAGCCATGATGTATGGGGTGGCATACAGGCAGGTCTGGCCAAATTCGGTTGGATCAAATTCAGGCCTGATCTGTACCCAACTCATTTATTAAAAGGATCGGATTATTCGACCTGTTTATTAAACATGTTACCCTTACCCAATCCGTGTGATCCATTTGATCTCATGGTACAATTATAATCACTTCAAATTTGTTGCCTCTAACCATATCATAGATTCAAAAGTCCTCATCTTTGCGCAAAAATCTAAAAACAAGTCAAACCCAAGGGAGTCAAACTCGCAAACTGCATAGAAATGAGTCCCCTATTGGACATGAAAGAATAAAAGTAATTGCGTGGAGGTATTCAAAGTAACCGGTGGAGGCCAGAGAGGTTGGAGGACGTGGAAGAGGCAGTGATGGAATCAGGCCACAACCTTAGCTTTGCAGTCTACATAACAGCCATGGTCCCTTAGATGCTCCCATGACCTAGGCGGGCACCTAAGTACCGCCTAGGTCAAGGTGGAGGCTTAGGAAGGCGCCTAGACCGTTTTTCAAAAAAATGTCTACTGCATTCTCTCTTATATGAATCAACATGTAGCTTGTATTGAATAGAGAAGCTCATCTTTAATAACAGCTTCAACTACGAACGTAAAGCGGTTATCCTTCTTTAGACCCAAATAACCCAAATCCATCCTCAATCTCAAAACACCAAAAAGCAACTAACATCCAAAAAAGAGAGAACCTCTTCTAAGAGGTTCCTATACTCTGTTTTTTTAGTTTGAGCTTATCCAATGAAGATTCTTCGTGATCATTAGCTTGGAAGCCCTCACGCTTCACCATTGCTTGTTGTCGTCGCTCTCTGACGAAGTGATCAACCTCGCCCTCGAGCTCTCTCACCGAGTCATAGTCGAAGGAGCTCCCTCACGGTCCTAAGGAGAAAATAAGAAAATGAAGGGGAAAACAAAGGGTAATGGAAAAGGATCGCTGCAATGGTTGATTAAACAAGTTATTGAATGGGTTAAATAGGTGACATTTAGGGTCAACATAAATAACCTGACTAATAAATGGGTAGTTCCGGTTGACTCGTATATGACCCAAACCTATGTTACCTGGATACTGTTATCTGAAGCCGTACCTATATCCAACACTTAACCCGTACTCTATACCCAAAACTATGTTACCTAGATACTGTTATCTGAAGCCGTACCTATATCCAACACTTAACCCGTACTCACACTACCACTTCTTGGGATACTTCTTGAATATATGGATATGTTTATTCGGGCATGCACTCTTCGCGATACATGTTCTTAATTATATAGTATTTTCTTTAATTTAAAACACTCATCATACACTTCTTCATCATATATCCTACGCTTCATATCCACTTCTTGAAACTCATTGGACATGAGTCTAATTTGTTTCAAGCACGCCCAATTTAGAACTATGATTATAATGAGCCATCTAGATACCTAGTTCAAAAACTAGCTTCTAATCTATAGTCTACGTAATAAAATAGATGCAAAAATGTTATAGGATTTTTAGTTCTCATAACATATAAACGAAAAAAACAATATTATTCTCATGTAAATCATAATTTTCAATACATACGCACACATAGATGCGTCCCCGTACCCCTACTCATGCTCGTACCAGTTGGAGTGCATTTCTATGCAAAATAGACCCGAACCATATATCTCGACCCATACCCATTCCATTAGTAACGAGTCGGGTCGGGTTAACTGGTTAAATAAAAAAGTGGCCCTGATGGTAGTAACAAATTAAAAAAAACTGACATAAAAGACGTTTTTTTTTTCAATCTAGCGACATAATAACCAGTACGAAAATTCCACAACTCTTACTTAAAACAATATCTTAAATTCCAGCATTGAGAAAATAGATTATCAACACTAACTAGCAACGAAATGCATCCATCACAAACTAGCATCGAAATGCACCAAAAACAAGGACTGAAGAGACTATACCATAAACCCATCCTACTTCTTCCCCTTCCCTTTGGCCGCCCTCTTCTTCGTCGGAAGCACGATCTCCCCCTTCAGCACGGGGATCTCCATCAGGTCCGAGAGCTCCCCGTACTTCTTCCGGAACTTCTCAACCTGGTCGTCATCCTGGAGCATCCCCGACCTGTTCCCCAAATAGAAAGGGTGGTTCCCTGACCACATGTCGACCGAGTACTCCTTCTGGGTCCCACCCGTCGTCATCACCAGCTCACCGTTGCAGTAAACCTTGGCGTCCTCAAAGAACTCGGGGTGGATCCCCTGTTTCCGGCACGACCACCGGCCAAACCCGAGGTCCTGTTCAGAAAATTAAAAAAAAGAAGAAAAAATAAATAAGCCTTCGGGGGATTTGAGATGGATTTTTTTAATTTGGGGCTCCGAGTTTTTACCTGCTTGGGTTGGGACCTGGGGCTGGGGGAAGAGAGGGAGGGGACGAAAGGGGTTTTAAGAGATAAGGACGCCATTTTCCGGTTTTCCTCTCCCTCTGTTTTCTTCTCCCCTCTTATCTACGTGTTTCGCTTCGGGTTTTTCCGAGGGGAGCGGGTTTTATCCGTTATCCTGCGTGGCTCTTCACGGATGACGTGCTGCTCTGCTCCTCTCGGGAGTTTTACTTGCGTATGTGGTAATAATAGTAGAGGTAGCACAAGTGTGAGGGTCGTAGGAGACTAGAAGTTTGTGTGGCAGATAAAACTTCCAAACAAAATAAAACACTTTATGGAGAGCTAGTCACGATAGTTCAAGAAACTCTAAACAGACGAGGTCTGAGCGTAGTTGATGGATGTTGGGTGTCTGGAAATAACAAGGAGTCGGTGAGACATCTTGTATGGGATTATCAATGGCTTCTTTCCAGAAAGGAGATACATGTGAATCCATTGCTTCTTTGAATGAGCTTGGATCACCTTCAACAAGAAAGGTAAAGAAGTATTCTCCAAAGTCCTTTTGAATTTTACCTATTTTACTTCTTCGAGGTTCAATATCAAGAGGCTAAGAAGAACTAGAAGATGGTAGGTCAGAAGAAAGAGATGAACTAGGATTTTCTGAGATTTTGGACTTGAAAGGAAAGATGTTTTTAAAATAGACTGCATCTCTTGCTTTAATGATAGTATTGTTGGATATGCCACTGATTTATGAGTTAACGACTATAAATCTGTTAACATTGCTATCTAGTGCTATCCAATAAAAGCAGCATCTACAGTCTTAGAACCAATTTTTCTCTTCTTAGGTTCGGAAATAGCTACCTTAGCCAAGCAACCCCAAACCCGGAAGAAGTTCAGACTAGGAGTTCTCTCCTTCCAATATTCATAAGGAGTTATATCAGAAGATTTGTGGGGAATCCTATTGAGAATGAAGCAGGCAGAAAGAAGAGCTTCACCCCAGAGATTTTCAGGTACTCCTGAACTGAGTAACATACAGTTCACCGTGTCCATTAGGGTTATGTTCTTTCGTTCAGCTACCCCGTTAGACTGTGGTGTATAGGGAGTAGTTACCTCATGAATAATACCGTGTTCTTGGCAATATTCAGTCATATCATTTGAGGTATACCCCCCCCCCCCTCCCCCCACGATCAAATCTTAGAATCTTGATCTTTCTGTCAAGTTGGTTCTCATATTCAGTTTTATACACCTTAAACCTATCTAACACTTCATCTTTAGTTTTGAGAAGATAGGTATAACAATATCTGGAGTGTCGTCTATAAATATCACAAAATATCTCCTATCCTGTGACGCCCCAGGGTTCATAGAAGGTTGCAGTCCAAGATGAAACATGGATTTGTCAAACCTGTCAAGGACCAATACCATGCTACGACATGTTTCACCATCAAAGTTACTGCCTCTCTAGTAGAATCAACAAATAGGTGAATCTACAAAACAGACAAGTAATGGAAATAGTACTGTTTACGATGAAAGTTGATATCTTCATTGCTGAATCCATTACACGTTTATCATTTACAGATTCAAAGTAAAATTAGTCTTTTTATAAGACTTTCTTACACAATGAAAATAAGAAAAATACAACTCTCTTCAAACAAACGCAACGGGTGTTTATCGCCCACTGCTTGCGTGGAATCTTGGCCTGTGACGGGGACGTTGATATCCGTGGACCACCAAACGATCAAATCAGATCCGTAGCTTCATTGATTCGCGAAGGAATCAAGAAACCGAAGTAGTTATCTCGGTAACGGCGAGATAAACACTCTTCTCGAGATCACCGTAACGGGGCGATCTTAAGGAATGAACCGGGAAGTGTAGACCTGACGAGCTCCTCTTCTTTATGTTGACGAACTCGATCCGACCTCTCCTCCTCCTCTCTGAAATTCATGGCTTTTCAGTCCTCAATTTGGCAAGGCTTCGCCGACGCTCGAGAATTCCAGATCTAAAAAAATAAAGGTCCTGAGGCTGTATTTATAGGCTTAGGGACCCCTATTTTCGGATAAGAATGGCCGATTCCCTCTTATCCTCAGTTGTAACCACTTAACCACGTTATTGGATAGATTCAGATCAGTTGGAACAAATCCAAGTGGTTAACGCCGAAAAAAGGTTCAAAACAACCAAAAACAACATTCTGGGGGTTGCGAACACCCGTGGGTGTCTTGGCTTGGCCGAGACACTCGTGGGTGTCTCGGTTTGGCCGAGACACCTCTGGGTGTCTCGGCCTGGCTGAGACACCAGTGAGTGTCTCGGGTATTTTGGTCCTAACTTTTTCATATGATTTCCAAATGACCTGATTCTAGATACATTGGAAAGCTGACAAAGAGATATACAACTTTTATGTTTTGAGTTTCTTTATATTCGAATCAGATCATGGCCATTCTTCTCCAAGATACCAACACTGTCTCAGAATTCTGAGGCAGTTTATACTATCTTTGGTATTTTGACTTTATCTTTCGCATATGATCTCTAAATGACCTGATCCAAAATGAATTAGAAAGATAACAAGGAGATCTACAACTTTTATGTTTTGAGTTTCTTTAGATTTGAATCAAATCATAGCCAAAATTGATCTACAAGGTCCGAGACACCTTTGGTGTCTTGGCCAATCCGAGACACCATTGGGTGTCTCGACTTGGCCGAGACACCAATGGGTGTCTCGGCCATCTCGGCCAATCCGAGACACCTTTGGGTGTCTTAGCTTGGCTGAGACACCTTAGAGTGTCTTGGCCAAGCCGAGACACCCAAAGGTTGGCCGAGACACCTTAGAGTGTCTTAGCCAAGCCGAGACACCCAAAGGTTGGCCGAGACACCTCTGGGTGTCTCGCCGAGGCTCGGGAAGTAGTCCCACGCATTCCGTCCATTTTCATCGTATTTTCGTCGTTCAAACTCGGAATCATGCGATTCAAGATGCGTTGGAAAAGTTGTCGAGAAGATCTACAAGCTCCCATGATTGAATCATTTGTGGAGTGGATAGGACATGGAAGGCATTTCATCTTTTGTAAGTGACGCGGAGCTCCCGATCAGTTTGTTTCCTCGTTGTTCTGCAGTTCTGTTGCTTCACATAGTTCGTCGACTCACTTCATGCGCTTGTCGATGTTAAATGAGCTTCTGTGACTTAGATAGAAACGTTTATCATCTTCTCTCTGTCTCAAGCCATGTGCGGGAACCTATAGGTAATTTTTGACGCCTACAGATACCCCCTCCAATGTGTTTCAGTCTCGTTTTTTTATAGATGAGTCTGAAATACTTTGGATATGATCGGTCCAACCTTCAGTCGGTATAAAAGGACCTATAGCTTTGATTCTTAACTCCTTCAATTTTCAATCTTTTCGGTATTTTGATGAATAACCAAAACTATTCCGGCACTGCGTTTATCGTCTGACCATCGTCGAAATCTTGAATCAAAACTGGTGAGTTGATTTTGGCTCGTATCGTCGAGTTGACTTTGAACTGACCATCTTCATCACGATATATTGACTTGCGTTGACTTTCCTCGCAACGTGTTGACTGACATTGACCTAGGGTTACGCGTTGATCAGTGTTGACCTAGGGTTTTAGATCGCCTGACGTTGACTTTTTCATCACAACGCGTTGACTGAGGTTGACCTAGGGTTACACGTTGACCAGCGTTGACCTAGGGTTTCGGATCGCCCGTCGTTAACATAGTTTATACTCATACGTTTGCTGGAGTATACACAGTTTAAGCTCTTAAGGTATTGGAGTATGGCGGTCCCAATAGTTGGGGCTGCAGGACCAACTATTAAAGCTGATTCGTCTGCAGATATGGATCTTATCCCGAAGTCGTTGGATGCTCAAGTCACGAGACCAACTAATGAAGCTAATGCGTCAATGACTCGTATTTATAAATTTTTTGACAAATTCTCAGCCATTAACGGGTTTGATTAGCCTTTACCGACTACCGTTTGAGTCGGGCTAGCATGCGAATTATTTAAGTCTGTTCTGCATGTGACGTTGTGCTAAAGGAGTTAACTCTGTTAGTGCTATGATATTGAATACGTAGACTTCGTATTTCTTATGGGAATAGACTACCCGACATTGCGTGTTAGGCGTTAACTTATCCCTTCTTAGGATTCGGGATAAAAGTTCCCAGACTTAGATTCTGGTGTCTTCTTCAATCGGTTGTTCGCGGGAAAAATTGCTTTCATTGATGTCATTGTTTTCTTGAGCAATAGTTTATCGGTTACAAAAGATCTGGTCTTTTTATAAGATCAGGTTACAACAAAATCAATAAAAAGAAAATCTTAAAAGATGACAATTTTCCTTTTCTGGAACAAATCACAAGATCCTGTTTTGCAGTCTCTTGCTTGTGTGGGTTCTTCGCCTGCGTCGGGGTTAATCCGTGGACCACCGCGCGATCTTGATCCGATCGGATCTACACGGTATGACGGGTGTTATTTCACGAAGGAAATAACAGCCGAGGGGATTATTTCACCAAGGAAATAATAGCCCTAAGTAATCGAAATCGACCAAGCAAAATCGATACTCTTCTCAGGATCAAAAACCAAGTTTTGATCCTGAGGATGACCGTGTGGATCTCAGATCTGATCTCTCTCGAACTCCTGCCTTATTTGACGTGGATGATCGCCAAGAACCAGATCTGAAAAAGTCCGAGTCTTCAAAGCTCCAAAACTCCGAAGTTTAGCTCTTAATCCAGAAGAGTTTTCACCTCCAAAGTTCAACCAAAAATCCAACCTCTTAAAAATAAGCCCTCCTTCTCTATTTATAGGCATTTCAATCCAGATCTGGGCTCAGATCTGGGCCCAGATCTGGGTGGCTCGGCCAGGTGGCTTGGCTACCTAGGTGGCTTGGCCAAGGTGGCTCGGCCACTGTAGACGGTAGAAAATACCTCTGTGAGCTTGTAAGAAATTCACCTAAATGATCAACTCGCCTGCACGAGCCAGAATCAACTGGGAATAGCAGAATTTCGCCTTTTACACAACTCGCCTGCCCGAGTCCAAAGTCGAATCCTCGCGCCGCAGCAAAGCCCCAAGGCCGGGCCTAAATACGGCCAAGAATGTCTGCTACCCCCACGTGCTTGAGATAGGTTTCCCACGCTGACTTTCTCGAGCCGCGAAGAAG